TCCATCCATCCATCCATCCATCCATCCATCTATCCACCCACCCATCCATCCTTCCATTCACCTGTCCATCCATCCATCCATCCATCCATCCTTCCATCTATCCTGGGTGGAAAATGTATGATTTAAAGCCACATCCATCCATCAACCCATCTATCCATCCACCTGTCCATTCATCTACCCACCCATCCATCCATCATCCATTCATCCATCCATCCATCCATCCCCCACTGATCTATCCATCCATCCATCCATCCATCAATCTATCCACCTACCCATCCACCTATCCACCTATCCAACCCATCCAACCCATGTTTTTTAAGTGCCTGCAAGGTGCTGGACACCTCACATTTTCCATGGATTTAGGACCTAGCCTCTACTTAAGCTATAACTCTGGTGACATTGATCTCTAAAACCAGCACGTGTGGAGGCTGAGCATTAAAGAAGAAAGTAAATGCCATAGAATTTCCCACTCATCTTCCTCAAAAGACTTCTTAAGTTACTTAAATCAGAGTGTATGGAGGGCCTGTACACCTCAGGTGTATTCTTCCTTCCTGTTCACAGTCCTGGGAATTGAACCCAGGACCTGGTGCATGTAGGTACATGCTCTGCCCTTGGTCTCCGTTTCCAGCCCACATTTTTGCTTTGCTTTGTTTTGGCTAAGCCATCTGTTCCTCAATGTTAAGGATCCTAAGAATTACTGTTCAAAATTATTATTTTTATTTTTGACATACGGTCTCCCTGTGTTGTCTGGGCTGGTCTAGATCTCCCAAGCCCACATGATGCGCCCACCTCAGCCTCCTGAGTAGCTGGCACTAGAGATGCATGCCACCACAGAATTCTTTTTTTTTTAATAATAAAATTCAAGGAGGTGTAGCTCAGTGGTAGAGCACTTACCTAGCATGTACAAGGTCTGGGTTCCATCCCCAGCATTGCCAAAAAGAAAATTAAAGTTTTCAAGGATAGCTTTTCATATTGTCTGGCCTTGTTGATTTGAAATCCATTCAAAAAAGCCATCAATAGACAAATGGATAAATAAAAAGTGGCATATCCATACAATAGAATATTAGTCAGCCATGACAAAGGGACAGAGTCTTGATTTCTGCTGTAATATGAACCTTGAAAACATGATGGTAAGTGGGAAAAGCCACTCACAAAAGGCCTCCTATTAATGCGATTCCATTCATATGAAATGAACACAACAGGGAAATTAAGATGCAGACATGAGATTCGTGGTGCTAGAGCGGAGGGTGGGAGGGGAGAACAGGAGGTTGGCAGCTGAAGGGCAAAGTGGCTTTAAACAAGTCTTGCTTCCTTCCACAGGGAGCAAATGGTCGGTCTAAGGGAGTCTGGACAAAGATCCTGTGGGACAATGAACATTTAGCCATTCCACAGTCTGAAATCCAGGGCCGTACCATTGCTCGACGCGGTAATGCCTGTAATCCCCAGCTACTCAGAAGGCTGGGGAAGGAAGAGCGCGAGATCAAGGCCAGCCTGGGCAACTTAGCAAGACCCTGTGTCCAGATAAAGTAAAAAGGGCTGGGGGCGGCTCAGTGGCAGAGCACCCTGGGTTCCACCCCTGGTACTCAGAACTTGGTGTGAAAAAAGCCAAGCTGTCTCAGCTCTTGGTCTGGGTGGAAGATCAGGGATGGGCTTATGGACACGGCCTCCCTCCCAGAAGTCCTTACAGCCCCGGGCCTCAGTTTCCCCTTTTGTTCTCTGAAGAAGTGCCGGTTAAGTGAAAGGAGTTGCCTCGTTCTCCTTCTCCTGGCTGTGGATAGGCTACACTTCAGGGTGGTGCAGGAGGAGGGAAAGGCACCAGGGGCCACATTCCATGTCCCCTGCTCCCAGGATGGCCAGTTAGTCCTGCCCCACGCTGAGATACCCGGCTCTGCTGCATTTCTTCTCCGGTGACCTCATGTTGGGGGCAGTGCCGCCCGGCAGGGGGTCCTACCATGGTGGAGACCCTCTGCACTTCAGAGGGTGACCCTGGCCCTGGGGCTGCTTAGCCCATACGAGTGGACAGCGTCACTGCGGCAGGAAACCTTTAGTTCTATTTTAGTTTTCACTCAATGTTATGCGTGCACAGACTCTGGAATTTTGTTTATTTATTTATTTTTGCAGTGCTGGGGTAGAAGCACAGGGCCTTGTGCATCCTAGGCAAGCCCTCGACCTCTGGCTACACCTCCAGCCCCTACCGTTTCTGTTTGTGGACCCGCTCCCTGCCCATAATGTACCATGTTGGCTCCTGGGTGGGAAATGTGTGATTTAAAGCCACTTGGATTCACTGGAGCTGCGGAGAAGTCCCAGGGCTCCTTCTCCTTCTCCTGGGGTGGGTGCTGTCTCTGGGGTGGGTGCTGTCTTGGGGTGGGTGGGTGCTGTCTTGGGGTGGGTGGGTGGGGGGAGCGCTCCTCCTGGGTCTCTGAGGTGGGGATTACCTTGAAGACCTTCTTGGCCCACGTCCTGAAAGCCTCCTCCTGCCCACAGAGCTCGTCCCCCTCCCTCATCTTCAGGATCCTCTCCCCTCCCAGCTCTTCCAGGAGGGTGTCCACGGCGTGTCCRAAGGCGCAGAAGTGGGGGTAGGCCCGGGAGCCGAGGCCGAACACCGAGAACCTGGCAGGGAGACAACAGAAGGTCCATGGTAGGGGCTGGGGGGGTGACGTGGGGGGTGTGGGGCTGAACCGTGTGCCCTCGACATTCACGTTGGAGCCCTCAACTCCAGAGTGGCTGCATGTGGAGGTAGGGCCTGGGGGAGACAGTGAGAGCCAGGGCGGTCAGAAGGGYGGCCCTCATCCCACGGGACCAGCGCTGGTGTGTGCCCTTTCTCTGTCGGTCTCTGTCTCTCTCTCTTTCTGCACCATGATAAAGAAGGCGGCCATCTGCAGGCCAGGAGGAGAGGCCACGCCACAAGTCAACACGGCTGGCCCTCTGATCTTGGACTTGGAGCTTTTGGAGCAATGAGAAGGTCCATCTCTGTTGTTTCTGCACAGGCTGCTGTATTTGGTGAAGGTGGAMGAACCTCACCGGCCTCTCGGGTGGGACTGTGTTTAGCTGATGGACTTGAAGCCACCCCGAGCCATCTGGAGAAGGTCTCGTTGAAGCCCTTGAGGTGTCTCCTGCCTCCTGTTTGGTCTCTGCTAGCTGTCACCCACCTCAGGGGAAAGTTCCAAATGGTTCTCAAGAGGGACCTTGAGGGACAGCAGTGACCTGGGACCGTTGTCCCTTTCTAAGCTGGACTCATGGGGAACAAGAGTCTACCTGAGTGGGAAGCTTGAATTCTGCAAGAGGCACCGTTAGACAGACAATGAAGACTCCAACACCACGGTCCTCAGGGACCCGGAGGCACTAAGGTGACCAGACGGACCTGTTATTAGCGCRTGGAACATGGGTGTGTAATCAGCGTTTTCCGAAAGGAGAGGAAAGAGCTGTAACCAGGCTGGCTGCACCCCGGGGCATGTCTGTGAAATTTATGTGCTTCACACACTGATGTCTCTTCCTCTCTGTAGAGATACAGGTGTCGGGGTTGGAGCCAGAGGGGGCCGTGCTGATGCGCTTCTCCTCCACGTTGAGGTGGCACGGAGAGCGGAGGATGGTGTCCCACATGGCCCTTCTTATGGACACCCTGGGCCACATTTCTGGGGGTGGGTCCTGCGGTTCTGGACCTCTCAGGAAGTGGAGCAGTAAGTCCACAGAGGGGACAAGAACCTCTGACCCTGCTGTCGACGGTCACCTCCCAGGTCAAGAAGTGGCGCTATTGAACCTGCGGCACGGGGTCTTGCCCTGTCCTCGAATCTCCTTTTGAGAACCCCGGGGACCAGATAGTGACAGATGGAGACAAGGGAGGAGAAGGGAAGGGGAGGGAAGTTGGGAAGGGAGGGACTCCCCATCACTGGAAGATGAACTTGAGATCTGTTCAGGCGTCTCCCAGATGGGGGTTAACGCTCCTCTCAAACCCAGCTTTATGTTGTCCCTTGTCCCCTCCCTCGTCCGACAGGTGGGAGATGTGGTGACCAGATGAGGACTGGTGTGTGTGTGGGGGTGTCAGGAAAGGGCACCCCTGCCCCAAGCCTTCGCCTGGGCCCAGTGCAGATGTGGAAACTCCCCGCACTGAGCACTGCTTGGGGTTACTTGTATCTGTTACTGGTACTTGTGATGGCRGCCATATCGGACTCCTGTTCCTGTACTTTAACTCCCTTTTCACTTTTCCGCTCCAGCTGATCAAACCCCATGCTAAGGACCGAAAGTTGGCGTCTTTTCAAAATTCATGTTGAAATCTAATCTCCAAGGMGGTGGGATAAGGAGGTGGGGCCTTTGGAGATGATTAGGTCATCAGGGCAGAGCCCTAGAGGGAAGACTAGTGTCCTTTTAAAGGGCTGAAGAGAACAGAGTTCTTCCCTTCTACCAAGTGAGGACGCAGGGAGAAGGCACCAGCTACTAACCCAAGAGTGAGCCCTCAGCAGATGCYGAATTTGCCAGGGCTTTGATCTTGGACTTCCTGACCTCCAGAACCGTAAGCAATAAATTTCTGTTRTTTATAAGCCACCCAGTTGTGGTATTTTGTTACAGYATCTTGTATTCACTAAGACATTCAACTCTGTGTTTGCCAACAAATGGTTCAGAGAGTTGATTCCTTAATTCACTTCTTAATGGACCTAGAGACCTACTCTGGTTACTGGTAGACTCACAGTCCTACCACAGTTTTCACTTAGGATTTCAAAACTTTCATTTTTAAGTCTCCAACAGCAGTTGACTAACTTCTTACATTTGGGGTCAGATGGCAAATATTTTGAGGACTACAAAATAGAAGCTATTCTTTGGGCACTTATGTAACAAGAGGGAAAAAACCCTTCAGTACATTTTTTTAATTGATGAAATTTAAAAAATATAATAATGAGAACAAAATTTTCAGGGCTACTAATGAGAAGAATAGGATTTTTTTTTTTGGGTTGGGGGAGTGGATAACATTTTGTTTAAGTGGATCTCAAAGATATTCTCTATCATTAATTCCAATTGCTCATCTGTAAAAAACCATTTTTAGCCGAAGGGTTGAACAAAAACATGCCGTGGCCAAGCTGGGCTTGGCCTGTGGGCATTTGTCTGCCAACTTGAGGCTGTGATAGATTTAATAAGAATAAAGTAGGTCTGACTGTCAAACTCTAGAACTGAAGTTTCAATGTTCAGCTAAAAAAAATGTACTAATGTCAAAACCCACAAAATGTGCCACACTAACAGGGGACTCTAAAGTAAACTCTAGGCCTTGGCTGATAATGATTCTAACCAATGTACCCTGTTGTCACAGGAGGCTAATGTTGGGAGACCACATGTGTTTAGGGTAGGGGAGTTGGGGGCCTTTGGGATACGATTAAAATTTTTTTTTTTTTGTTGGCGGGGTACCAGGGATGGAACTCAGGGCACTTGACCACTGAGCCATATCCCCAGCCCTATTTTGTATTTAGAGACAGGGTCTCATTGAGTTGTTTAGGGCCTCGCTGTAGCTGAGGCTAGCCTTGAACTTGAGATCCTCCTGCCTCAGCCTCCCGAGCTGCTGGGATCACAGGCATGTACCACTGTGCCTGGCTTCAATTTTTTTTTTTTGTACTTTCTGTACAATTTTTTACAAGCCAACCTAAAATTGCCTTTGAAACTCAAGCCTATTTAAAAATGTACTGATGGACACAATCCTTCAACATCTAGGAATTGTCTACTGAGCACAGCTCTGAGCAGTTGCGAAGACACGTCAGTTACRGAGGGCTGAAGAGGCTCGTGGGTGGGCCTGAACGTTCTCCATCAGTCTTGTTTGACCGATATCCGGAGGTTTGACATCGCAGTTTCATGTCCTTGCAAATGCACATTCAACTGAACACACAGCTGGTGAACAAAAACGTCTGTCCACGGACCACCTAGAATGATCTCCTGGCAGRGGAGTCTGCTTTGGCAAACATGGGGTTAGGCTGGTCTTTTAAAAAYTGGACTGTGTGCTAGAGTCACCGAGAGAGTGTAAGGAAAAAAGTCCAGGCGTGGGCCCACATTTTGTACCAGTTACGTCCGAATCTCGGGAAGCGGGGCTTGGCTAGGGTGTGGGTATGTTGTGGATATTCTCAGGTGGATTTTGGGTGTATTCAGGGTTCGGAGTCACTGCCAGGGTTGCTCCTGAGACTTCTATCCAGTAGGAAATGTGTTCACTGGGAAGGGAAGCTCAGTGACCAATAGGAAATAATACGCTTCAGCCCATGGGGTGGACTGCGGGTGTTGGGGCTCTGAGAGAGGGTGAACGGTCAGAGAGGCCACAGGAAGGGTCAGCCAGCGAGATGGAATCGAGGGTCCCAGACAGCCAGGAGGTCCCAGACAGCCTGGTTTTATAAGGGAATAAAGGCACAGGGAAGGGGAGACCTCTCCCTGCAACCAACAACCCATCTTGCACCAAGGTCCAGCTCCCCAAGAGCCTCCGTCTCCCCTGACCCCAGGACCCTTGCTCACCTCACATTGGCCAGGGGTCCAGCACTCTCAAAGTTGTCTCTGAAGTCWGGCCCATCGCCTGATGATTTGCGCGAGTCAGAGTAGGAGGAGACGCTGTTGAACCGGACCTTGTAGCTCCTGCCAAGGTGAACAAGAGTCTGTGAGGTTCGCCTGGACCCCCTCCCGAGGCCCACACCCCCTGTGGATCTTGAAGTCACTTGTCCTGGTCCTGGTTCTCTGTTGGGTTTGTCAAGTCAATGCATAACACTCCTGGGGTCTCTTCAAGAATGGGTCAACTTTCGCCCCCCACCATGATAATTATCCTCCTGTACGTGACCCTGTACCTCCTGTACATGGTTTGTGGCCATTCTCGATTTATGAAACTCAAGCCCCATACCATTAACATGGCTAAAGCAATAAGACATCAGGAGCAGAATGGACCCTCCCCTCACCGTAGGCCATGCTCCCTTGCTCTCTGAATTTTAACACGCACGGGAATCATTCCGGGGTCTCGTTAAAATGCGTACTCTGGTTCAAGAGGTCTGGGGCGGGGTCTGAAAATTGGCATTTCTAACAAGTCCCCAAGAAGTGCCAATTTGCTAGTTCCCAGGTCTCACTTTAACAGCCAGGAACTGGCTTTCCAATATGGCGGCCAATATGGCCCTTTCCAATATGGCGGCCATCATCTAAGTGTGGCTATTTACACTTGAATCAATTAGAATGAGATGCAGTTGAAAATTCCTGTCCTCACATGCACTAGCTACACCTCAAGAATCCAACAGCCACGTGCGGACAGTGACTGGGAATGTGGTCTAGTGGGAGAGCGCCCCTGGGTTYAAYCCRTGGTACCCMAAAAAAAGTTCTGCAGAACYGGGCTGGTCTATTCTGGTCAACGCTTTCCTTTCATAGAGTCTTAGATCTTAGACATTTTTCCTGGGTCRCAGGTCACATTTCAGGSAAACATAAGACATGTTTAGCACTGAGACCCTGCATGAAAAGACATCGCTGCTTTATATACATAATTAAATTATTTTCCAGGGGAAGGAGGATGTCCTGGGACCCAAACCTCAGCCCGAGAGGCTCAGGGATCTTGAGACTTTGAAACAACGAGACCCCAAACACCCCCATCCGTTCTCCTCTCCTAGGGGTACGTGTGGCTTGCACACAAGGTAAAAACAAAAACCCAAACCCAAACCCGAACCCCAATACTTGACAAAGAAACAAACCAAAACAAGTCCAAGCCCCCAAACTCCAGGCGAGAACCCAATGCACAAATCTGAATGCAAAAGAGGGAAAAAAATAAAAAAAAAAAGACATAAAAAGAAATCTGTGCGATCTGGCAGCAGCGTTTCTAAACTGGACGCTCTTCAAAGTGTCCGCTCCAGCATCAGGAAAGTTCTAAATATACGGAAGTGTATTTTCTGCCCCCAAAATAGCCTCACATTGAGTCACTTCTCCAAATAAGTCATGCAGCATCTCAGGGGGTGTGTGTGGTTAGCGGGGGAGGCAGGCTGACAGTTGTGGGGTAAGAATAGCAGCACGTGGATCCGTATGAGGCTGGAGGTTCCTCCAAATGCTGTCCCCGTTGTGATTTTCCCGGGAACCCTGGCAACAGCCCCCCCCCCCCAGGTGGGCGGGGCAGGATCACGGCTCCCCATTTGGCAGCCGAGGGAGACAGAGACCCACGGGAGTCCAGTGGTTTGCCCAGGTGGTTGAATGGGCGAATGGCACAGCCTGGGTGACAATCCGGGTCACTTGGAGACCGGGGGCGGGGCCGTGGCCAGGGATGCTGGGGTGTAGGACATGCCTACGTACGGGTGCACGCGCACACACACATGCACACACACGCTTGCACACRCATGCATGCGTACACATACACGCTCTACCTGTGCCGGCTGTCACGGGCGGCAGCCAGACCGTGGACTTCAGTGTCACCAGGGGGGAGGGAAGGCCCTTTACGGGGAAAGAAACGCAAGGGTTCCGGGTACCTAGAGGGGAGAATGGATGGAGCCCTATCTCTCCCTGAAGGAGGGGTGAGGGGYGACCTGCAGGGAGGCCACCCAGGACCAAGGTGCTGAAGCCAGCTATGGACGAGGGCAGGTCACCAGGGCTCTGGGATGGGATTGGCCACATGTGTTTTGCAGGGAGAAAAACCCAGAGTGATTTTCTGCMCCACACCATCTCTAAGTGCCAGTCAGCTCTGACATGCGATGCTCATCTTAAGACACGGGGATCTGCTCCACACCAGGCGCCCTCACGGAGGGTCCTGGGGCTTTTCCGAGGAAGTCTAGATAACAGACCGTCCACCTTGTGGAACGCCTTCAGAACCCAGTCCCACGCGAGGTGCGATTCCTTCGTGAATGTCTGCGCACCAGGGGTGTCTCTGCCTTGTGAGGTGATCTCGTCCAGCTTTTGAACTTAACCTCTGCACTGGCTGCGGGTCCACTGTGGGCATCAGATCGAAAGCCCAAGAGGCAGCTTTCACTGATTTTGAATGGGGGTCTCCAAAGGTGGGGGGGAGAATCAGAACGATGTCTACACCGTGCACTTAGCTTTTCGTAGGACTCTTTCGTCCATTTTTGGACTTGATTCTTACTCATCAGAATGTGAAGGTAGCTATCATCACCTCTATTTGACATAAAGAGAAACTGAGTCACAGGGCTTAGAAGGGACTGGGTCGGGCACTGAGATGCCAGCCCCAGTGAATCCCAGGCACCTGCCAGCTAAATCCAGTCTTCAGTGGACTTTGGATCACAACCACCRTCCACAACTCAAATGTGAATCCCAGGGGCCCAAACAGAATTTCCAGGGATCCCAAGGGTTGTCATTGACATGGGAGGGACTGGTCACTTACTTCCTCTCCTCCTGCATGGAGTTGGGGTGCCTCATTTCCATCAAMGCACAGCCGAATTTCTGGAGGTCAGAACAGAGGAGGAAGATGTGAAGGACGTCTGTATGAGTGAGCTGCCAGGGGGATGGGCACAGGGCCCGGGGTCCTGGCCAGTCATCGAGGAGCCCGAGGCCTGGCAGCCAGATATCRGGGATGGCCAGGGCTCCGGTGGGCAGCCAAGGTGAGCAGCAAGTACAATGGAAGGTCAGCTGTTTAAGGGACGGCAGGCGTGGACACTCCACCCCCACGACACATCGCTCCTGGGTGGCCTTCTCTTTATAAAAATGTTGTCCCCGGGTCTTTAGCAGGGGACACCAGGCTCATGACTAGAACTCCCATTCCCAACAAGGCGCTCACTCAGGTGACATTTTCACTATTTGCACAGTGGACACCCACAGCCTGAGAACTGGGGATGGTCCAGGGTCTGCAGGACTTGGATCCCACCGACGTCACTGGCTCTGGGGGGACTCTAGTTCTGAATGACAGGTGTAGAGGGAGGGTCCCAGCGAGGCCCTCCTGCTTCCTGCTGAGGGCACCCCATCCTAGAAGAGGGGGAGCCCATCTCACCTCCCCATTCTCCGGGGGGTCTCCGTTGCCGAAGGTGCTGGTGACCACGAGGACCAGCGTCTCGTGTTCCAGGTGCACGATGTCGTATTCTTCCATGGACATCACCTGGCGGGACACAGGCAGGGGGGTGGGGAGAGGAAGGAGGAGGGAGGTGATGGCGGGGGAGGGGAGAGGGAATCCAAAGGGACGGGAAGAGGAGGAGAGAGAGAGAGAAGGCCAGTCATTTTGAGTCATCCCCTTTGGAAAGAGGAGCAGATGTTCTGGGCTGTCAGTTCATCAATGGGCTCAAGTGGGTGGGACCAGAAGCCTGTTAGTAGCATGAGGATCTTCCTGTGGTCACTGGGGTGAAGGATGCAGGGTCTGGGCCRTAGTCCCAGGGCTGGCTGCCAGGAGAGACGGACCTTGAATGAAGTCAGTCCTTGGGCTTCTTACCGCCAACCGATCCTGGATTCTTCCTGTCCCCGTTCAGGCTGGGAATGGCCTGGCTGGACCTGAGTGGCCCGCTCCACCCCCTCTCTAAACCTGCCCTCTGCAGTGTGAAGCCCCGGGATCAGATGAATCTGAGACTGTCACCCTGAGTCTCAGCATCACCCGCACAACATCTGTCCAAGTAGGGTCTCAGGAAGTCCAATCTGCTGGGGTGCCCCATGAAAAGAGATGACCCAGGGTCACTTAAATTGGGGAGCCAGGCGCAGTGGTGTAGGCCTGTCATCCCAGCGGCTCAGGAGGCTGAGGTAGGAGGATCCAAAGCTCAAAGCCAGCCTCGGCCACAGAGAGGCCCTCAGCAACTCAGGGAGACTCTGTGTCCAAATAAAATACAAACTAGGGCTGGGGWTGTGGCTCGGTGGTGGAGTGCCCCTGACTTCAATCCCTGGTATCTCCCAAAAAATCGTATCTGGGAGACATTTATAACCCACCCTTTCCTCCTTAGGAGATCATAATGCTCRTTGGTTCATGCACTAAAGGCTCTGAGAAGTCCTGTAGCCGTGAGGCCCCCCGAGCTGTCTTTAGCACAGAACTTCCTAAAACGGACTCCAGGATGGTTCCCACTAACATTTTTCTTCAGAGACAGGGATTTTATCTGGTGGTCCCAGGACTCCTACTTGGTTCGTGGGGAGAGGACTATGACAGTCCCCTGAAACTGGCAGCAGCGTGTGCTGATGCGCATCTTCGTCTTTCGTCCTCGGGCCAGCGTTCCTCCTGTCCACTTCCCTCTCTCCCCTTCCCAACCGTATTCACCGCCAGGGGCTTGGGGCCTGGCACTGCCCGCTGCCCACCTTGGCGTCAAAGGCGTGTTTGAAGATCTCACACAAGGTCTTGGCGTAGGCTTGCGATTTGCCCGTCTCTGTGGCGTAGAGGATGGTGGCTTTGACCCTCTTGGCCATGGCCTGTCCCATCAGCTTGGCTGAGAACTTGACGGCCCTGGGAGTCCGGGAGGGGGAGGAAAGTTGGGAAACAGACACCAGGTTGGGATTTTTCGGGCGAGAACCACGATCCACGAGATCAGAGCCTSGAGTCTCTTGATCTTTGATGCTTCAAGAGTCAGAGCCCCGGAGCGGACGCACCCCACTGAGCGACTCTATCCCCAACCCCAGGGCAGTCAGGCAGGGGTTAAAGTGGGTTTTGCTAGTGAACCTCGGGGTACCGTGCGCTGCCTTGAAGGACAGTCCTTCGCCCGTCCACCCCCTTATTCATTCATATTCACTCACGGGGCTTATTTTGTGGGTGCGTGTGTATTTGAGAGAGACGGGGGGGGGGGAACCCCAAACCACTGTTGATCCACCAGGCATCGAGTCGGAAGGTTCTAGGGGTTTAGGGACCCGCAGAGGAAGGGCCAGGCTGGGTTTATTCAGCAATGACATCCAGGGCTTTGCAGGGCACCTGGCATCTCCCATGCACAAAAGAGATGTCTATGAAAAATGACGAGTTTAGAAAGATGCGGATGTCACCTGAGCCCTGGGGAGCTTAGATGTCAGATGCAGCCTCCTCCTAGCTCAACAGAGAACCTCAAACCCAGTTCCTTCCCTCCCCTCGGCTGGCAGGGGCTGGGGGAGGCGAGTCCCCGGGCTCCACTCCCAAGCCATTCTTCTCAGGAGTCTTAGTGTCGACAAATCGCTAATCACCTCCCACCTGGGGATTATCGGTGGCAAATTTTTCAGAATTAGGGGAGCCACCCACGCGGGGGAGGGGGGGAAGACTGAGCTAAGGGTGGGGAGGTGGGGAACCCCAAGGGATTCAAGGTGCGTGGAGGGTTCCCTGGGAGGGATGGAGCATGACAGCGCATCTATAATTAACTCCCTTTGTTTCTACTGCAAACTTCATGGTGCAATTAACGTTTTAGATTCCCGTCTCCCTGCTCTTCCCGGAGACAGAGGAGCTGAGCTAGAGCCAAAGGTGGCCCTGGCTGAGAATATTCCAGAGCTCCTGTTGGGGGAAGGGTGCTGCCTTGGGCTCCTCCTTGGCTGGCGGGTGGGATGGGATGGAGAGAGGGGGAGGGGAGAGATATCCCGGGCGCCAATCATGGGGGCGGGAACCAYGGGACCCAGCATGGGTCCGTGGCAGAGGTGGCCCCTGCTGCAGAACTAGATTGGCACCCACGGACGCTTCTGGACCCCAGCTAGCTCAGTCCACCCCGATGGCTGCCCAACATGGTGGATCGGTGGAGTTCCCTTTGGGCAGAAGCCTGGGGTCCCCATTCTATCAGCTCAGTCCCCCCCCCCCACCCAGCCGGCCCCCAGGTGGCCGAGCATCCTTCAGGAAGAGAGGACCCCACCGTGGTCCACAGCCCCTTCTTTGCTCCATTAACCCTTGTTTATCTCATTCACCGATTCAGGGACATCCTCCCTGACCTCCCAAGTGACATCTAGGTGACATCTAGGTGACATCTATTTTACGGTCCCGGGAGCCACTCCTCGGTGCCCTTGCCACGGACCCAGTGTTGACTGTTGTTCATGTTTGTTCTCTGACAGGTGATGGCTGGGGCCGTCCTGAGATCAGGGGCCCTCCTCGACCCGGCGGAGCCTAGCCCCGCGCCTGGCGTGGAGAATACACCTGGGGCTCACTTGTTGGCTCAAGGGACGAACGAATGAGGAAATGAACGAGGGAGGGCCTGGGGCAGGCTCCCCCCCCCCCCCCCCGTTCTGACTTCCCTCGAAAATGGCCCCGAGGGGAACACGGACCCCACAGAAATGGGCGGGCGTTACCAGCCCAGGTGTGGCGGCCTCTGGTGATGGGTTCACCCACCCGCCGCTGTGTCCCCCTCTTCTGGGCTCCCTGAGTGGGCGCCCCCGGGTCCCCACGGCGGGACACTCACTCAGCCAGCTTCTTGAAGCCGATGGCGCGCCGCTTTGTGGGGGTCCCGTTGGTGCCCTTCCACACGTGGGTGTTCCAAGGGTCGGGCTGGGAAGAGGAGAGAGGGCTCTGGTCACTGCCACGAGGGAYGGCGGCTTCTCATGGAGATGCCCAGGGCTCCCTGGGGCTCCAGGCTGCCCGACCCCACAGCCCTGAGAGCAGGATTCCACCTGCRGTCACCATAGCTGTCCTTGCCTCCCTGTCGTGTCCTGCCAGCCCCTCCCATCAGCCCTGGGTCCCCTCCGACTTTCTCTGAGCACTCGTTTTGTCTCTGTGAGTCTTTCACCAAGACTGTGCTGSCCAGTGTGGGAGCCAGGAGCCACACGTGGCCACTGGGCATTTGCACATCCAAAGAGCTGGCCCAGAGTAAGATGTGCTCCCCACACAACCTACACAGCAGATATGGGGGGACCTGGCAAGGAAAGGGGCAGAAGGGGCAGGACCTGGTACTCAAAGGAGGGTGTGAGCCTGTAGTTGAGCATCTCCTGGTGGAAGACGGGYGTGATGCTGCCAGACATGGGGGGCACGATCCACACCCAGTCAGCCGGGCAACCCCCCCGACAGCGGTAYTCGTTCTCCATGTGCTTAATGAAGGACTCGGTGGCAGAGTGGTGGTCAACGATGGTCACTTTGTCGCTCTGTGAGAAGAGAAGGGGCCAGGAGTCAGAGGAGTTGGGGAAGCCAAGCCCAGCAAGGCACGCCTGTMATCCCAGAGACTCAGGAGGCTGAGGGAGGAGGAKGGCCAGTTGGAGGCCAGCCTCAGCAACTGAGTGAGGCCGTAAGCCATTTAGCAAGAGCCTGCCTCAAAATAAATAAATAAAGTAAAATCAAAAGGGCTGGGGATAGGGCTCAGTGGTAACGCGTCCTTGGATTCAATCTCCAGAACCCCCCCTGCCCCCCCAAAAAAATAAAAAATAAATAAAAATTTAAAGAAAAGAAAGCAAACAAGATGGTGGTCCTGGAGATGATTCTAAGCAGTGTGAGGGGAGCCGGTGACTCTCTGCATTTCTCTCACTTGTAATCACACCCAGGAAAAGGTCTCTGTTTGGTGCCGGTGTCTTTCATACCTTTCCCTGCTTTTTAAGAAGGGGGAGGAACCTCAGGCAGTGACTGGACTCTTGTCCCCTCTGTGCTTTTCGAATTGGTCAGCTCAGTCCGTCCGTGCTGTCCTGAGCCTGCCTGTCGTTGGCCCAGGTCCCCAGGGATCCGAGCCGGGATCTCAACAGCTCCCTCACCCTCACCCTCACCCTCCGAGAGTTCTCTGTTCTCGGTGCCGTTGGTCCCTGGGCCCCCTCTGTCCCTGACGTGTGACTTCAGTTTCCACCCGTCTATCCAGGCTTGGTGGGCAGCCCCCGAGGGCASAGCTGGCCTCGATGCTAGAGACCGTCCTCTGCAGCTCCTGCCCCTGCCCTGGATCATCACGGGTCAGTGTCAAAATGTGATTCTGTGTTTGTGACCAAGTGTCCGCTCTGTGGTCTCCACCYGTCGTGGTTCAGACAGGGAGTGTCCAGTCCTCCGACCCCAGTATGGAGGCAGGTGGACAAATCTCCCCTGGGAGGCCAAGAGAAGGRCACCTCACGCCAACCTGGAGGGACACAGGGGTCTGGGGGACTGACCCCCTGGGGGCTGTCACCACGTGGCTTCCTGGGAACACCTGTCCTGTCCCCTGTGGCTCCAAGGGCAGCCGCCCTTCCTTGGTCACCTCGCCCCCACCCCAGCAAGGGCGGGCCACAGAGTGGACCCCACGGACGTGTCAGACCCCAAGGAGGGACCTGTCCTCTTAACCACGTAACATGGTGGGGACCGTTCCCCTGCCATCGGCTTATTACACGCAGAGTGTGGAGCGCTTACTCTGTCCACACCGGCCTCCCTGGGCCACCTGCGCAGGGCCACCAGGGACCCTTGAAGAACCCCGAGACAGCGGGCGTCCCTCTTTGGGGCCTGTCCACTCCGGGAGCCCCGTGACCTTGGCTCTCACCCTGGGCCAAAGAACCCAAGGGCTTAACTCCATTCACACCCTTTCCAGGGGCCCACGAGGCTCTGATAGTGAGGAGTCCCTAGGAGTCCCTAGGAGAGGACAGGAACAGAGGACACCTGTGGTCACAACTTTTTTTTAAGGGGGGGCACTGGGCTGGAATCCAGGGGTGCTGAAGCACTGAGCCACAACCCCAGCCAGAGGCAGGGCCTTGCTGATGATCAGGGCCTTGCTGAGTTGCTGAGGCTGGCCTTGAACTCGTGATCCTCCTGCCTCAGCCTCCTGAGCCGCGGGGATGACAGGCGGGGGTTGTCTTGCCCAGCTCCTCATGGTGACTCCGAAGCATCGTGAGCAGCGGGTGGTGACCTCCCTCCCCATCTAGTATTCTCTTCCTCACAGGGTCCCCACCCAGGACCCCCAAGCAGGGGAGGCAGGYGGACAGGAAGGGGGTCATGCTGGTGGACAGGACCCGCCCAGGTGGGTTTTGGTAGCCAGGTTTCTCGACCCTCAGCACCAAGGTTCCGGAAGGTTCTCGCGCCCATGAGGCGGGAGCCGGGTGCTACCTGGAAGCTGTAGAGGACGGCGATGTTGATCTCCACCAGCGCCTGGTCCTTCCACAGGGACGACGTCTTCCTCATGTCCAGGTTCATCTTCTTGGCTACTTCCTGAAGGGGGACAAGACCCACTCACAGGCTGSGGCCCCTCGGTGCTTCAGAACGAAGGAGGGCGGGTGCCGCCACCGTGGGTCCCCTCACCGTGGGTCCCTGGACTAACCAGCTCATGCCCCGGTCCCTCATGGACTCACTCCTGCAAAAGTGGTTGTGTTTTTTTTTTTTTTTTAATTGAGAATCTACTGGACGTGAAGGAGCCCCTGAGTCATGGAGCTGACATGCCCGTYGAGTGGGGAGAGGGCTCATTTTATGATCAGTGTTAATTCCTAGGAAGGAAACGGGAGGAGGAGATGATGAGAAGAAGCAAGACGTCCGCAGACCAGGGGCGGGGACTTGTGAGTGAGAAGAGCAAGAGCAAAGGCCCTGGGGTGGGAATGGGGCTTGGGTCACCTGAGAAGCAGAAGGAGGACCCGTGTGCCTGCAGGAGGGTGAGCCGCGGGGGGCGGGGGCTGTGGGAGAGAGAAGCAGGACTGGATGCGGGGGGGCCCTGGAGGGCGAGCCAGGAAGCCAGGATTTTATTTCAAATCCGAGGGTGGTCTTCCGATGGATCAGGAGCGACTGTTTCCCTGGAGGAGAAGCTCCCCCCGTTCTGTTCCACCCTGCAGCGGTCACTACTCAGACTGGAGACGGTGGGCTGTGAGTTCAGAGGGACACCTGCTGGGCTCTGACAGGTGAGGGAAACTGAGGCCAGAACCCTGTCTGCACTTGTCCACAGTCCACGGAGCCAGGTGGCCGGGGAGGGAGAGCTCGGGGGACGCCCGATACCCCAGACCTGGGAGCTGCCTCCTCATCAGCTGGCACCTGTGTCAAGTTACTTGGGAAAGAGAATTGGTGACAGTCGGAGACACCGGCTCTGGAGCGGCAGGGCAGAGCCGGCAGCAGGCTCGTTAATTAAGGCTGAGCTGCTCACYTCCCGTCACGCCGTCCCCGGCGGAGCCCAGGTCTCATTACAGGGCTGCAAGGCAGCAATTTCTAAGGASTGGGGAAGTCATTCCCACCCAGCTGTCACCRTCTGTACACAAYGGCAGCTGGAACTGAGGGCTGGGGCGGGTGACAGGCTCCTCTAGCTGCCCGTGATGACTCCTTGCAAGGGACACGCACTCAGACAGCGCAATGAGAACTTGGTAATGCGTTCTCGGAGGCCGGGCGTTAGGTTCTGCTGGGTCTGGAGCAGGGACGAGTTTGCAGAGAGCAGATCATTRGCTGCTGCTTTGCACAGAGACATGTAAAACTCGAGCTGGTTTAGGAAAGAGCCAAGTGTCGTRTGGGCAGTCACGCGGCTCCTGCATTGTTTTTAGTACCAAAGATGGAACCCAGGGGCGCTTAATCATCCCCAGCCCTTTTTAATATTTTCTTTAGAGACAGGGTCTCCCTGAGTGGCTTAGGRCCTCGCTAAGTTGCTGAGGCTGGCTTTGAACTCATGATCCTCCTGCCTCAGCCTCCCGAGCTGCTGGGATGACAGGCGTGTGCCTGGCATTCTACAGCATTTTTTTAAAAAATTAAACAAGAACAATTAGTTGCAGAGAAAAAAAAAAAGAAAAAAACCTATGTGACTTAAAAAAACTAAAAATCCCCCAATGCAACTTGAGCCATATCTATGGAAATTATCTGAACTATTTCCCCCTTTCCTGCCAGGAGGTGGTACAGATGGGTGCTACCCAGTAGAACCTTCTGAGGAAATTAAAAAATGTTACAAAATGCTGAAGCCTGGGGTCCACACCAGATCAATAACATCAGGGTTCCAGGGAGGGGGACTTGGGCATCAGAAAGCCCCCAGGGTCAACTCCAAGGTGCAGCAAGACCGAGGACCCCTGGACCCATGGATTTAAACAACAGAAACCTAATGCTTGGTTCTGAGTTCTACTCCTGACTCTGTACCTTATTTGCTGTGTGACATAGGCCCAGAACTCAACTTCTCTGTTCCCCCATATCTTCTTTTGAAATGAGGCCAACCGCTGAAGACTGAAGACTGTTGGTAGGGACATTGGCTGACAAAACATAGCCCTGGGACCCCTCAGGAGGATTCAGTGGGGGGAACAGAATCAGACCCTCTGTGGAGAAATGCTACCCTCCTCTGCTGCATGACCTTGAGCTTGTCACTTACTCCCTCTGGAAGGCCTCATTTTCTCCACCTTCAGGGGATTATCACACCTTAAGGTTAAGGTGAGGGTTAAATGAGAGTGTGCTATAGCCGGTGGGTTCCAAGCCACTGATAGAAACAGTAACTTGGAGAATGTCACAGCCGTTACCTTGAAGGAAAGAGACCAGTCATCTGAACACACAAGCCCCGGCACACTGCAGGCCACCTGCAGCCAGAGCCGCGGTTTCCGTCTACGCAGATCCAAACAACCTTCCCAGGAAAATACTTGGGAAGAAGCTTGCACCTGTAGAGAACGTGTCCAAGGCATGTCTTCCCTGTCATGATCCATCCTCTGAACCCTTCRGGTTAGCACGGTATCAGAAGTCACCTCGAGAGGATCTGAGCGTGCCGGGGGTGTKCGGGTCACAGGCGCACACTGGGCCTTTTACATCAAGGACCTGGGCTTCGGTGGGGGTTCCTGGATGAACCCCCGACAGACACAGGGCAGCGGGGGGGGGGGTGATGACTGTATACATAAGGTGCTTAAGCAGTGCTACCATCCCTGGTAAAGACACACGGGTGCTTCCAGAAGTTCACCCGGATTGTGGTTCTATTTGTTCCCCTTCCAGTTTCTAGGCGCCAAACCTCTGCCTGAGGCGTCCTGCCCCGGGGACCACCGAGGGACCCTACCTCCAGGATGTTGTAGCGGGAGTTGTCACAGTAGTCGCGGACACCGATCTCCGTGCCCATGTACCAGCCACTGAAGGGACAGGCGCTGAACTCCAGGCCGCCAATCTCCAGAAGCATGTTGGACACAGCGGGGAGGCCGTACCACTTGAGGCCCAGRTCCTTGAACCAGTCAAACCTGCAGACGGCAAGGCAGCCCAGGTCTGGGAACCACTGCCCTGGGCGGCCGTGGGTCTTCCAAACCAAGAGTGAGTCCAGGAGAAAGTGTGGAGCGATCACTCTGCTGCAACCCACGGGGCGCCTTTCTACCCCAGGGCCTTTGCCCAGGYGGCTGGCTCCTTCTTCCTGGGGGTCCTCTCTCCTCCATCTGTGCCCCCAGCTCCTCCCTATGCTTAATTCTCAGCTAAAATGCTGCTCACTCTGGGGAAACCTTCTCTGATGTCCTATCGGGTCTGTGTGGCCTCACACTTCTGGGCATCATAAAATTCCGACTGCCGCATTTTACTGGAATTCAGTCACTTTATAGGGCCTAGAAGCATGAAGTCGTTGTGTTTGTAAGGTCTTCTCCTCTTTGAGAAGGTAAGACCACCGAGGCAGGGACCAAGTCAGCCCCCAAGGCCAGCCGGGTGCCTGAGTGGAGTGGGAAGGATGTGGCCTGAGTCAGTGAGCGGATCCAGGAGCTGGGGGTGCTCCCAGAGAGCAGGCGGCACCAGGGGCCTTGTGACCCGGGCCTCCTGTCCCAGGCCAGGAGGAAGGGAACACAAATGGGGCACTCCTCTAGGGCACAAAATCTAGGGGGACCCCAACAGACTCAGCCATTAACATCAAGGCTGCTGCTTATTCATGCAGCGTTTTAGATCAATGCATGACTTAGCGCTGCCCATCTACGTATATATTTTGAACAAAATATTGAAACTTTAAATAGAGAGGCCCCCACCCCTCCCTGTGTGACCCCCCCTTGCTTGTGTCACCCTAATCTCAATTCTGAGCTGATTCCTGTTTTTATTTATAGTGTTGCTCTGTGGCTCTTTGTGGATTTAAAAAACAAAAAAATAAACTAAAAAAGAGTTAAGTTAGATCTTTGAAACACATGGCATTTACATCTTGAGTTTTTATCGACCTCCCTTGGTCCTCTCCTGGAGCCTAGTGCCTGGGGTGGGATTCTTCCCTCTCCAAGTGCAAATGCGGCTCCTCCCAGCACCAGGTGCCAATTGAACTTGACCTTCCCTGGGTCCACTTCTGACCGTTGGCTGCTCTCAGGATGGCCCCCGAGGGCACCCACGTTGCCCAAGCCCACGGGGAAGAACCAAGACCCCCTGGGAACCCCTGTCTGGGTTGCAGAGGGAGCCAGGGGGCGAAGGCTGGGCGGAGAGGGGCCCGGGGACCCCCACCCCCCACACCAGCCCTCTTACTTGGGGTGCCTGATGGGCACTTCCAGCACCAGCTCAGGTGGGATCTGGAAAAGCTCGGGGTCATTGCCGTTGGCCTGCAGCAGGAGGGGCAGCACGTCGAAGCGGCCCCGCGGGGGCTTCCAGCCTTGCTGGATGCAGATCTGAAAACAGAGCGCTCGGTCAGCTCGGGGCCCTGAACCCTCCAGCCTGGTGGGGAGTGGGGTGGGGCTGAGGGCTGAGCAGAGACCCCAATGTGAGTCCCCAGCGGACACTGCCACTGGACAGAGGGTCCCCCTGGGCTCGCCTAGTGGGCCCCGGCGGGGCACAGGGCAAGCCTCTGCCCCAACAGGAAGCTTTACATCTCCGGGATCCTTGTGCCCCTGGGGGCTCCCAGAGGGGAAGGGAAGAGCTGGACAATCCTGGCGCCGTCCTGGGCTGGCTCTGTCCTGGGTCTGTCACCTGACCTTAGAGGCCTCAAGATGCAAAGAAGGTCTGCTCCCTGTGGTGAAGAATCACCATCTAGAACACATTTTTTTAGGGCAGCTGCCCCATAGATATTTGATGTGAGCCACATGAGTGACTGACTCTAGCAGCTACATTAAAAAAGAGGTGAAAACCATTTTATTCAYATATTTATTTAAATGCAAGCACTCTATGTGAATATTCTTCATGTATTAAAGTATCCATCTATTCAAAGTGATCCGTTTGACAGTAAAATGAAATTGCTAACTTTCATCTAAATAATATCGAATAGAGGTACTATGTAACAAGGAGACACCCTAAAGATCAACACTAACTGATCCATGATAAATGGTTAAAGTGAAGGCATTTACATCGCTAGAATATTAATATTCATGTTGAAACGTCAATGTTAAAATCAAACATATATTTATCAATCCAGTAAGGTTGCTAGTTTTTTATGAACGCAGCAGCTTGCCGTGCCTCCATCATCATCGTTTCAATCTGGAATCAATGCATATATTTTTGAACAAAATATTGAGACTTTAGATAGTCAGGCTCGMACCTGTTTGTGATGTTTGTGGTGCTGGGGATTCTGCCAGGCAGAGATCTGCCACTCAGCCACGTCCCCAACCAACACAAGAGCGATCAGTGAGCTCGTTTCCACTGATTATTATTATCATTGTTGTTGTTGTTATTATTATTGTTATTATTTTTCTGGTACTGGACATTGAGCTCAGGGGCACTCAACCTCTGAGCCACATCCCCAGCCCATTTTGTTTTTTATTCAGAGACACGTCCTTGAGAAGTCGCTCAGGGCCTCGCTGAGTGCTGAGGCTGGCTTGGAACTCAGGATCCCCCTGCCTGAGCCTCCGGAGCCCCTGGGATGACAGGTGTGYGCCAGGCACCCCGCCCCCTGTGTTTGGAACACTGAGTCTTGGCATTGTGGCGGCACCTTCTCTAGAGGCACRTCTCGGTTTGCACTAGCCACAGACGAGGTGCTCAGGGGCCACCCACGGCTTGCGGCTGTCCAGAAGGGCAGCGTGGGGTTAGAGGGTTGGGAGGGAGGGGCCGAGAGGGGCGGCGCTGGCTCCTGGCTCAGGAGGGGTGCGCTGGCCGGGACGGTTGGAAGGCTGAGCTGAGGAGGGGGCCGTTCTGCCGACTTGAGGCAAGGTCAAGGCCAAGTGCACCTTCCGCTGTGCCAAGTGGTGCCTGGCTGGGCCATGAGCACACAGGTGCAGCTCTGGTTGCCCTGGAGACAGCCCCTTCTCAGGATAATCACATTTTAATAAGAAAGGCCACCTGCAGGTGAAGCCAGCACCCAGGGGTAGCAGCTGAGTCACCCTGGGCCTGGCAGGGGCTGGGGCCAGGGGGCGCGGAGAGCAGCTTACCTGGGGAGGGCTGGGTGGTAAATACAGGGGGTGCCCGCCCACAGGCCCACCTGGAAGGAACCCTGGGTGGGGACCGGTCTTGGCTGCTCTCCTGGTGGCTTTTASAGGCTGGTGCTTAGCAGAGTCAAAATTGTGGTCGACAGTGGCAGAAACGTGAGTGGTGCCTCGAGTCGGAGACACTACCTGACCCTGCCAAGATGCCCGACGGGCTTCCTCTGCCAGCGTCTCTCCTCCTGGTGGGATGAGCTGTGCCCTGCGGTCCCRCCTTCCCCTGACCTATTTGTCCCCCTTGGATCACTGCTCGCTGTGCCCACCTGTGAAATGGGACCACAGTTTCCACCAGGGGGCTGGGGGTGAGGACGTGGCACCAAGGTGACCCAAGGCCCAACCCTGAAAGAGCTGGAGGACGGGGACGGAGGGCAGCGGCCAGTCTGAAGAAGGGCACCCTGGGTCCCAAAGGCTGCTCATCAAACCAGGAAAGAAAGCTCGGGGCCCTGAGCCCAGGTGGGTGGGTGGGTGGGGACGCCGCGCTCGCACCTCGGTGAACTCCACGTTGGCCGGGTCCCCCAGGGTGGAGCCGTCGGGCTGCTTGTAGCCAGCGTAGCGGATGAGCTGCGAGTTCCACACGCGGAAGTCGTGCTTGCCGTCCGTCCTCTGCGGGAAGATGGTGATGGCCGACCTGTGGGGCCGGGGAGGACAGCCGGTGTCAGGGGGAGACATGTGCTCTGGGGACACACTCGAAACACTGCTGCCCAGGCCAACAGGCTCAGGACCTGTGCCAGGTCCCCAGGGTCAATGGATTAACTGTTGGAAGGAGGGGACGTCACCYCTCCACTGGAGCCCCTGGTGTGCGGAGGGTGAAGGCCAGTGGGGGGGGGGCAGGAGGATGGGTTCAGAGCCAGGGGCTCTGGATCCCTGCCCCCAGGGGACAAGAGTCCTGACATCAGCCAGTCCCCCGGGGAGTTCTGCACACGCCGTCTGCAGGGAGCCCTGGGGCCCCCGAGTCACGGCACATCCTGATTCTAGGTTCTATTCTTCTCCTACCACCAGCCTTCCCTTTTTTGGGTACCGGGATTGACCTCAGGCGCACTTGGCCAACACCAAGCCACGTCCCCAGCCCTATTCTGTATTTTATTTAGAGACAGGGTCTCACTGAGGTGCTCAGGGCCTCCCTAAGTTGCTGAGGCTGGCGTTGAACTCGCGATCCTCCCGACTCAGCCTCCTGAGCTGCTGGGATCAGTGTGCGCCACCAACCAGACCACCAGCCTTCCTGTGAAACCTAGGACACACCTGTGTGAACCCTTTCCACCTGCTCCTCATTACCCTCCAGTGCCCTCTCTGCACACCTCGGCCGCGGAGGTCCCCTAACCCTGTCATCGGGGAGGCAGATTTGAGACCTACTCTGAGTCCCTTTTGCAAAACTCATCTCCGTGCAGGGCTCGCTGTGTGGTGGGACGAGCCCACGGTTACCCCAGGGTGAAGGGTGTCACAGGATGGGGCTTTGCTCCTTGGCACAGGGGAAGGACGGGAGAAGAAAAACGTAGACTTGAAGCAGGATGACTTTTCCACCCATGCCCCATGATATCCTCTGCCCCGAGCTCCTCCCTCTGCCTGGATTCCCCTGTGCCATCAAGAGATCTGATTCCTGGCCGCGGGGACCCTGCCCTGGGTTCTCCTGTCAAAGCAGGGATCTCCTGTGCCCCCCGCGGCTGGTGGCTCTCCTCCTGCAGGTGTTCTGCAACAGCCACCCCCTTTGCTGCTTTCTGAGCTCCACTTGAGGTCCTCCCCTCTATGCAAAAGAGGGCACCATTATTATCCTGCAGGAGGGGGGCCGTCCCCTTCAGTAGGAAAGTCGGGGTGCGCGGGAGGCCAGGTGAAAACCACACAGGGTCGGAGCGCTCTCCAGAATCTCTGAGCAGAACGTCTCTCAGGGCCACCGCGGAGAGGAGCCCAGGATGAGTCCCTTGTCCCTCCCGTGCTGACGCATCCCTGAGCAGCAGACCCAGCGCGTCGTGTGATGTACATACAGAGGCGTGTTGAGCGACACCAGAGTCACAGCCCGTGAGCCGGGGTGAGGCGGGTGCTGTGTGCGGATCCCAGACCCAACATCCTTTCTCAGGCTCCTCCTGGGTGAGGGCTGAGTGGGACGTTTGTGGTTGCAGTTTTGCAAACCCCGGGGGATACCACTGCCCCAGGAGAGAAGGGACACGAGGCCCCCTCACCCCCCAGCAGGTCAGCAGGCCCTCACCTGAGGTTGCCCTTGTTGGTGGCGTACTTGACGTGGTTGCAGATGTAGTTGAACATCCCGTGAGCCGTGGTGCAGTCGCGTGCATCGAACACCTGGGAGAGATGCCCGGTGGGACTGACGGCCGTCTCCCCCTTTCCCAGAGCCCACCCCAGGGCCCCCTCTCTGGAGTAGCAGGCACGTCGTTCTGAGTCCCAGGCAACCTTTTATGTTTTCTTTCTTCTATGCTCATAAGCAACGTCAATCAGACTAGGAAAAGTCTCCCAAAGTGCAAGCGAATGTGACCAAGGGGACAGTCAATACAGGGGGCGTTTTAATGAGATGGCTACGTTTTCTGTTAGGGACTAGGACTGAGGGATTAAAAAATATATATAAACAAAAAACCAAACTCCAAACCCCGACCTTGATAACGAATCTACTGCCCACGAGGAGCTCTTCCCTAGAATCCAATCGGGTCAGCGGGACAGAAACAGACCCGTCAGGGGGGATGCGGAGAAGGTCAGTCAGGGAGGTGGGCGGGAGGCTGAAGGGAGCGGTGGGGTCTGGGGTCAGCTGGGGTGCCCAAGGGGTCTCCCACCTGCAGCTTGGACCACTGGATCCTGCCAACGCAGCGGGCGGCGTTGCGCCAGGCGTGCTTGGCCCCGTAGATGAGCTCCGTGTCCCTGAGCTGGTAGGTGCTGGTGCTGTCGATCTCCCGGTTCACCTCCTCCAGCCGGTCCATGTGGGCCTTGGAGCCAAACCTGAGTTGGGAGGAGAGGAGCGTGAAGCGCCCCCTAAGGTCTCCCACCAGCCCGGGACTCTACTAGGAGGCGGGGGCACCTGTAGGAGGCGGGGCCTGGTGGGAGGAAGTGAGGTCATGGGGGGCGCCCTCCCTCCCCCCTCCCTTGTTTCCCCGGTGCCATGAGGTGAGGGGCCTCCTCCTCCTGCTCTCCATCCCGGATGAGCTGCCTGGCCACTGGCCCAACCCAACAGGGGCTGAGCACCCATGGACGCCAATGATCAGCACAAACAAACCTTTCCTTCCTTTTAAGTTGATTCTCTCAGGTGTTTTGTCACAGGGACGGAAAGCTAACCCACGTCATTACCCCCTCTTCTGAAGTAGAGGTGGGTGGGAGGGACGAGCTGTGATAGGACACTGGGGGCCACAGGAAGTCCCCCATCGACTGCTACGTGTGACAGAGCATAAAGCAGAGAGGGTACACTCAGGTGCCTACGAGGGCTCGGTGGGGGGTGTAGATGAAACCAGCTGGTGGGGACTACGTTGAGCCTTGTCCTTGGGGACCAGCCGTGACTGTGCCCCAGCCAACTGCTCCCTGATAGGCGAGGGGCCCCAAGGCTGCCGGGTTTTGCTCAACAGAAGCTGGAAAGTCGTAGTCTTAGAGGGAGCTCTTCTAAGTTCCCACTGCTGGGAATGCCTTCAATTTTAGACAGTTAAAAATCACTTTGGGAACTTTGAGGCTCCTAAGAAGGCAGCTCTACAGAACAGTGTAACCAGCACCAGGTCCCCCACTGAAACCCAGCGACCGGCCCCACTACACACGTGTTCTACCACCGAAGGACACCTTAGCCCCTGGGGTTCAGATTTTCAGGTGAGGGGTGTTCAGTTGGTAAAGTCGATGCAGATGATTTTAAAATCTGAAAAACTCTGAGACCTAAAATGCGCCTGGCGCAGAACATTTCGGAGAAGGGTTACGGAGCCTGGACTCCATGTCTGGACTGTGGAGGGAGCCAAGGCGATTTCTGGAAGGTTCTTCAGTGGTAATCCTTCCTACTGTCCCTGGTGTTTGTGAGCTTGCCCTTCTTTGCATGCTCACAAACCACAGCTGGGAGTTTTCCTCCAGGTGTGCAACTGCGTGAAATACTCCAGAGTCCAAGAAATCCTTTCCCAGGTCAAATAAGAGCCCATCTGGGGGCCAGGTTTGGCCCGAGGGCTACCAGGTTTCCACCCCTGTGATGGGCGGGCTAAGGCCTCGAACTCGGGGTTTGGCTGGACTCTGCAAAGCTGCAGCTGACATCGTGTCCCCAGCCCCCACCACTGAGCCACATCCCCTGGCCTTTTAACATTTCCTTTAGACACAGGGTCTCGTCTCCCTGAGTGGCTGAGGGCCTTGCTAAGTGGCGGAGGCTGGCTTTGAGCTCACGATCCTCCTGCCTCGGCCTCCGGAGTCACCGGGATGACAGGTGTGCACCCGGGTGCCCTCCCACACTTGCCTCTTAATGGACGAGTAGTACTGGTCGATGAACTCCTTGGCCAGGGGGAAGAGCTGCTCCTTGGTGCGGACGTCTTCGGGCCTTCGCGTGTGCTGAGAGGGCAGCATGATGGAGCCCATGCAGATGTGCTCCGTGCAGCCGGTCTCCTGGAAGGGGGAGAGAGGCAGGCTATGGCCGGGTTTCCCCCGAGATCAGCGGGTGTGGGCTGGGGGCCAGGATCTGGTGCTCAGGGCAGGGCTAACCTGGCCCTGGACGCCAACAACCAGCTTCCTGTCATTGTTGGACATGGTCCTCAGTCAATGTAAGGGACAGCGAGTCACAATTTAAGGTCAGTTAGGGGCGTTTTGACTACGAATCTGAATCACGGGAACCAGACCCCAGGATACTTTCTCATGCTAACAGAGGGGACAGTAGCCCATTTGAACACGTCTCTGATAGATTAATTGCAAAAATGACCCCGATTCTTTCCTCCCAGCTTTCTCTTTGGAGTGTGGTTTGATAGCGGCTCCCCATCGAGAGGGGGCTGTATGTCCTCATCTCTTGGATCTCGGCTACTTTTGGCCCACAGAGTGGGCAGAAACGGCCCTGCACCATGCCCAAGCCCAGTCCTCAACAGATCTTGCATGTTTCTGCCTCCACCATGCTGCTTGCTGGAAAAGGAGAGACCGTGCACAACAGAGTCACCTCAGCAGGGCCATCCTAGATCAGCCGGCCCTGAGCTGTCCCCTCAGGTGGCTGCGGGCATACGATACAACCTCACTCAGATCCAGGGTGTCCGGTTCCGATGGGCTGGACCACCCAGCTAATCCAGAGATTTTTCTAAAGTCATAAACAGTAGTTGTTTTCAGGCATCACTGAATTTTTGGGCCAGTTTGTTACGYAGCAGTAACCAACAGATACATTTCTCCAAAAGGCCCTTTTCTAACCCCAACTTAAAGGAATATGTGGGTGTGTGGACACTATTAAAAAATCGGATCTAGAAGTCTAGAGGACAACACAGTGTGAAATCAGGGCAGGGTCTGTTCGGAACTTCATCGGTGGTCAGACTGCCCTCAAGCAGGGACAAAGAGCCCGTCCAGGGGATGCTGGACAGTGTCTGGGGGACTCACCAGGGTGCTCTTGAGGTGGAGGGTGTCRGTGAGAACCACGTCCGTCTCCCAGTTCTTGACCTTGAGGAAGCGGGGGCACTTGGAGGGGCTGCCGTTCTTTGTGGGGGACTGTCTCCCCGAGGCAGGGGGCTAGAGGAGAGAACGGAGGTGGCGCATCAGGCGGGGTCTTGAGGGAACTGAAGAACGGTCTCCACTGGGCTGGGAGGCATTGGTCTTTCTAGAATCTTCCCTGAGCCACCGACAGTCTGCACCTGACCAAAGGATCTGACCCTCCCTGAGTGACAGGTACCTGGGCACAAGCTGGCACCCCAGAAAAGAGCCTTTTGGCTTCTGTTTTGGGGAGAAGGGTCAGGTCAGGAACTCAAAGGTGTTCTCTGAAGTCTAGTACAGGGTCTGGCATACTGAGAAGGAACTCAGGAAATGTTTGTTGAGTGAATAAATGACCTAAAGGAAATGATCAGTGTCTCTGAATGATAACAGCCCTCAGAGCTGAAGAGGTCACTGTGGTGACACATTCCTCTGTATGAATGTCCGGGCCTTTCCTGCTGTAGCTCAAATTCACCCTTTCTGGCAAGTACTGAGAAAACAGAAAGGTTGAGATCAGGAAGCTTGGCAACACAGACTACTTTCTCCAAACTCCAGGTTTCTTTTCTTTTAATTTTTAGTTGTAGATGGACGCAGTACTTTTATTCTACTTAGTTATTTTTATGTCGTGCTGAGGATCGAACCCAGAGCCTCCCAGGTGCTAGGCAAGCTCTCTACCACTGAGCTATAGCTCAGCCCCCAAATTTCAGGTTTCTGTCTCTTGAAAATGGCAGGCTTGTTCCTGCCTCAGGGCCTTTACACGTACGGTTTCCTTTTTCCCAAACACCTGTGGTCCACCATTTGCTTTCACCTCTGGAAGCAAACAGACCAGTAGGTGGGTGGGGGTGATAAGTCCCAGGCCGACCAATGCCCCATCCACTCGAGACCTCACTGGCAAGGATTCCCCCTTTCCTACATGTTTCTGGGTAGCTGTCGTACCTGCTGGGGCAGAGGTGCGCCCGTGTGTCAGACAAGCATCCGTCACTCAGCAATTGTAAGAGACGCAGCAGACACACCCCAATGGGAAGGCCACGCCAGGGAGGGGAGAAGGTGAGCCGATGCTGAAGGCGGCTCATGCCAAGAGTAGGCCTCAGTGACCCCGAGGCAGGGCCTTTGTGTATTCTAGTATTTGCATATGGAGCCGTGGGAAGAAATTAAGCCAGGATGAGCTCAGGGAGGTAAAGTCTTCACGATGGCATTATAAGAGAGAGCTGAGCCAGCAGGTGTGACCAGATGCTAAGCAGATCTGCCACCCCACTCTGGGACTTCCCGCCTCCAGAATCTCGAGCCAAACAAACCTCTCTTCTTTATAATGTACCCGCCTCTGCCACTCAGTCACAGCGACAGAAAACGGACRAAGACTAAACTGTACTTCAGCCACAGTGGGCAGCCTGGGGTGGGTCGTTTGTTCTCTTTGTCCCCTCCTCGGACTTTCTTCCCTCTGGACCCTAAGTCATTTTGCTTGTGTCTCCCGGCGGCCCTGCACTGAAGGCGTCCCACCAGAGCAGGCCTTTAGAGCGAGGCGATCCTTGGAGTGAGTTGACATCTTTGCATCTTTGAGGGGTGCAGGGAGCTACTTGTCCATATGGAAGGTCTTCCCGCCATCTTCTCCACGTCGGGGTTTCACTCAGCTGGTTAAGAAATGGCCCGGGCCACCCCTATGCACGTCCTGGAGGCTGAGAAGCACCTGGTCACCCAGAGACGGGGTGACCGACTGGGTGCTGAGGTCAGGGTTGGGCCCGTGTCAGGAGGGTGGAGGGCAGGCGACTGGGGGCGGTGTGTGGGGGGTGGCCAGGGGGCGGGGGGGAGAGAGCAGGCCCTCATCCAGGAGGCCATCTGTTGAGGCTCCAGATGTGCGAGGAGCAGCCGTGAAGAGCCGTGGAATTGGCAGCCCGGACGCGCCTGCCCCGGCCCGTCCACTCGTCCTCGTCGCCTTGCACACTGGAGTCCAGGCCCTAGGAGCCCTCTGGCAGGGCYGCTGTAGCCACTTTGATGTTTTAATGAGCCAGCAGTGATACTGGATGACTCAGGAGGGGACATTAACACAGCCATTAGGGGCCCTGCATGCAGGATGCAGACGACTTCTCTGAGTGCGGCTTGTCCATCGGGGAGCAGCCTGGGGCTGGACCGGGCCTGAGGCCTGTTTCTGCACAGCCCACGAGCCAAGGATGGAAACGAGCGTATGAACAGAGACTGCATCCAGCCAGCCCAGCTCAGCAACACAGCACCCTGCAGAGGTGGGTTGCTGGCCTCGGGACCAAGTGGATTATGGGAGCAGAGTCTTGATGTCATTGCTCAGCCTGGGGACAGATGCATCGGAACCCAGGAAACGATCCGAATTCGAAACCCAAAGTCTGATTTCTATCGACTGCTCTCACACCATGGCGGAGTCGAAAACTGAGACATCTGTGAGACTCAGACCGTCCTAGGAGCTGTGTCCCTCCAGATCCATACACTGATCTCCTGAACCCCAATAACTCCCAATGTGACCTTATTTGCGGATAAAATCCTTTTTTTTCCCCCCTGGGGACGGAACCCAGGGCTCACACATGCTAGATAAGTGCTCCGCCAGGCAGCCCCGTCCCCAGTCCTTTAAATTTTGAGACAGGGTCTTGCTTATTGCTGACGCTGGTCTTGCCTATAGCGATCCTCCTGCCTCAGCCTCCCAAGTTGCTGGGGTGACAGGCATGTGCCCCCCCTACTCTCCCCGCGTGCCTGGCTGGAGGGAGGGTCTGGATGGAGGGCCTCATTTAAAGTGAGGTCGCTAAGATGGTCTCTGATCCCCAAATAACCAGCGTCCTCAGAATAAGGGAGAAATTGGAGATGGACACCCAGGCGCAGGGAGGCTGTCAGGTGATGCGAGAGGCCCCGCTCACGGCCCTCAGGAGGACCAGCCCACCCGGCCTTGGCGTTGGAGTCCTGGCCTCCCCAGCTGTGAGGCGGTCCGCTGCCCGGCTGGCGGTAGCTGCCCGGGCAGCCCTGGTGCACACACAGGGGTGCCAAAGCCTAAGCTGTTCAAGGCTGGCGCCTCCCGAGTCTCACACGGTTGGCACTGGCCACGGTCCTCCATCACAGGCCATGGCAACCTGCCCTGCTTGGCTTGTCCCCAAATGAGGGGAGCGTGCTGGGGCCGGGCTGGGCAGCAGGCCACCCACACCAGGGGCCAGAAGCCACACACGGTGCCCTTTGCTGCGGCTCCGGGCAGCACTATGCCCACCTGTGGGTGCAGTTCTCCAGGGCAGCAAGCTAACCTGGCGCCAAGCGGTGGCAGCTCAGGGCCCAGGCCCACAGACCCGCGGAGCAGCAGGTCCCCACCGGTCCATGCAATGAAAACCTGCCACTTAGAGATCGTGACTTACTGGGACCTGTGATGTGCTCAAGGTGTGGTGTCCAAAGTGATTCGTTATTTACTTGGTAGAAGTGAGCGATGATTTATGTGCTTCAGTGTGTGGGGAATCGGGGTGCTCGGGAACTAGACCTGGCATGCTTCGGGAGTGGAGGGGGTGCAATGATCTTCTAGGGTAAGGGGGTCTTTTTTGTGTGTGGGAGTACCAGGGGTTGAACTCAGGGGCCCTGGACCCCTGAGCCACATCCCCAGCCCTTTTTAATATTTTATTTAGAGACAGAGTATTCCTGAGTTGCTTAGGGCCTTGCTAAGTGGCTGAGGCTGGCTTTGAACTCACTCGCCATCCTCCTGCCTCAGCCTCCTGAGCCGCTGGGATGACAGGCGTGGGCCACCGTGCCTGGCTGAAGGGGACTTTAAACTGGATTGTTGATGTTTTCTCCAAATCCAGCAAGACCCCAGCTGTCAGAAGTGACCAGACTCTAAGCTTAATCCCATCACCAGACCAGACTATAAAAGCGCACTGGAAATCCATTTTAAAAATGAATCCTGCCATGGTCTTGCGGCGTCTCCCCGTGGTATCCCGTCCATCTGTGCGTCCTGTTACATGTCAACCTTGGAAATGGGCACAGTCAGCTTTAGATTTAAGATCCCGGGACCCTCAGCAAAGGTCTCCCTTGACCTCTCTAAGAGTCTCTGGACGGGGTTTTGGCAGTGGACATTGATCTGCAAAAAAAAAAGGAAGAACCACCTCTGTGGCCCCGTCAGCCTTTATGGGCAGACACTTTGATTCCGGGGCACGGCGGCCGGACAGCACGCGGAGGAGTAGCCCTGATTTCCCAGCCAGCACGTCCTTGTCCCACCCAGATAACGGTTGGCACAGGCTGCACTGAATCGAGTCGACACTCAGCTGTTAAAACAAACAGTTGTAGAATACATGGAAACACCAGCAGGGCCGCACCCAGACACTCCCCGGCTCCGCTYGGGCTCCGACCCCCAGGGTGGCAGGACCTGTTGTGGGGCTCTTGATTGAGTGCCGTGGGTGCCCAGCTCTGGCCCTGAGCTGGATGAGACACCGGGCAGCGGGCCTGAGCCAGGTGGGGGGCCAGGGGAGGTGAATGGCACTTTAGCTTGGGGTCTGGGGACCCTCCAGAGGGAGGAATCCAAATGCAGGGGGTTAGAGAGAGGCCTGGGGCAAGGGGTACCCCACAGGCACCCTGAGAGGTCGCCCGCATGGTGCCTGTGGGGTCTGCTAAAGCCAGCCAGGTGGGCTCTGAGGGTGACGTCGGTGCCGGGCCTGCTACGTATGGCTACATCTGCAGCTTGTCTTAGGGGCAGAAGGTTCCAGAAGTCACGGCAGATACTTAATGAAAAGATGATGGCTAGGGCAGGACCACATTCCCTCCCCTGCATGGTGGCATACACCTGTCGTCCCATCGGCTCAGGAGGCTGAGGCAGGAGGATGGTGAGTTCAAAGCCAGCCTCAGCAATGGTGAGGCCCTAACTCACTTGGTGAGACCCCATCTCTAAATCAATACAAAATAGGGCTGGGGATGGGGCTCAGTGGCTGAGTGCCCCTGAGTTCCATCCCTGGAACCCCTGCCCCCCCACCCCCCAAATTTTCTTTCCTTCCCAGCTACCTATAGCGAATGCCTCCTGGAGGCTCAGCCCCGGGCTGGGCCGCTGCACGTCCACTGGCTCATTGAATCATCAGTCACCCATAAGAGGCCAAGGGGCTCCGTCACCCACCACGGAGCTGGCTGGGGATCCAGGCTGCCAAAGCTCCTGCCCGTCCCCCGCTACCTTGCTGACCTTCTGCCTGGACGTCCCGGAGCTCGGCCCTGGGAGGCCTGCAGCACTGACGCGGATGATGGACCAGGACGGTGACATAACCTTGAGGGGCGTGCATCACAGATCTGTCACAAAACGGTGGTCCCTTTCTGCTTGGGGGTCCCCAGGGTGTCCTGTGCACAACAGGAACGTGCCTCTTGTCCTCTCTGCCTCACGAGAGCAGCAGAATAACTAGCAAAACGAGAACAAGAATGACGACTGGGGGAAGTCCTGAGCTGGGGTGGAGCCTGCGGAGTGGCCTGGGATCCGTGGCCTGGGGTCAAATCCTGCCGCAGCCCTGGGAGCCCCGGGCTGTATCGGCCAGGGACATGCCTCTTCCCATAATGCACTTCTCCTCTCTCTTGTGGGCCAACTCCTACTCGATCCTCAAAACCCAGGCCTAACGCATTCCTTGGGGTCTAATCCTTGCTGGTACCTGCTAAGGTATTTAAGTCACTGGAGCATTTTGTGTCCCTCTCTCTTTTAAGACCGATTGCCACCGTATATGTCTTTGTCACCCTACACGTGCCTGGGAGGGTCTCGGAGGCAGCGGACTCTGCCTGCCTCTTTCCTTCCGTGCCTGGCTGTGCGTACCGAGGCTTGGGGACGAATATTAAGCAAGGAGACATGGCACCTGGATAAACACGAACAGCTCAGCTTTCTGAGATTGGTTGTTTTAAAAAGAGGTGTCTCTGTGTCTGATTCTCCTTGACTTTAGACAATCAGGAGCTTCACASATGATGGGAATCTCTTCTGGGTCAAAGGGTTGGACTTCACTCTGTTTTTTTTTTTTTTCTTTTAGAAAACTAACAGTCTTCGGAGTCAGAAAGTTCCTTCTCCTGTCTAACCTGCGTCTGCCTTGCTTCACTGGCACGCTGTTCCTTTCTGCCTGGTCCTGGGGGAACATGCAGCTGCTGAACTGCCGATTGCCCCTTCCTGACTGAGAGAAGCAGGTAGTGGCCGGGTCCCCCCTTGGTGTCATGAACAATGCTCAGCCTCTGTGGAGGCTTTAAAATCAATCGATCAATTTTTAAAAAGCAGAAACCACTGGAACCGGGAGGAGGGAAGCTGATTCTAGGAGCCACAGGTAAAGTGGCTTCGAGCAGGTAGAGTAGAGGCTCAGTCCGGAGGCCGTCCTTCAGGACAGAAGACGAGAACCGTGGTTTTCATTAATTTGCTCGTCTGGGGGACAGTTCTGGAGCTGCTGGCTGTGGGGGGTCCGTCAGGACATGCCCAGGTATCGTCRCAGAGCCAACCGGCGGGATCACGGCCTGGCCCACAGCAGGATCCCTGAAGTCCTGTTTTCCTGTCCAGCCGTCAGCAGCCAGCGAAGGCCACTCCACCAGGATGCGCACCAGAGCTCTGCGGAGAGGCCCGGGCTCTGAGGAGCTGGTGGGGAGGGGCCACCTCGAGATCAAGTGCAGAGACAGAGACCCAGGCCCCAGGCTGAGAGACCTGGGCCACCCCTGCAGACGTCCCTCGGTCCGTCCACCTCTACAGAGGTGCAGAGGGAGGCGGGAAGCTCACAGGCCCTCCTGGGCTGCTGGGGCCTGGCCTGGCTCTTCCCGGGCGAGAGAGGGAAAAGGCGCTTCTGATCTGCAGCCAAACCGAGCCACTCTTGGAAAGGGGCACTGACTCAGCTGTCAACACCTCTCAGCCGACTGGCAAAGGCCAGGATGTTTGATGGCAGATGGAGCTGGCGAGGCTGTGGGAAAACAGGCTCCCGCGTCGCTGGAGGGGTGGCGGCGATATCTAGAGCGAATCTTCTGGCAGCTTCCGTTCATAGACCATAAACGCTCATGACCTCTGACTCAACAATTTCACGCACAGGAATTTATTCTATGGATAAACCCACTGGTGTGCCAYATGAGGTATCGGCACAATGTTCTATCCGACAGCACTGTCACAAGACTGGCAATGAGCCAAGTATCCGCCACGAAGGACTTCCTTTTGGAATAGTATGCAGTCATCAAAAAGAACAMAGGACTTGATTACTTGGGATTTATCCCCTAGACATGTGGATAAGTAAGAATGCAAGGGGCAACATAATAGGTGTCATGGGCTCTTATACAAAATTACAAAAAGAGGAGGTGTGTGCACATTTGTCTAAGCATAAGATGTTGCTAAAGAACACAGAAAAATTAGTAGTGTTGCTGGCGTCTGGGGAGGGGAGCTGGGTGTAGGTGAAGGAGGAGAAAGTATCATGATGCATCTTTGATCTCTTTTAAATGTGGAATCACACAAATGCCTTTCCCGGTAGAAACAGAATTAACATTGGAAAAGTGGCAAGCTCACGATCAAATAAAACAAACCCCAGATCTGCACCCCAGCTGAGCCTCCTGGCCCGGCCTCYGGCTCTGCAGCCAGGGCCGCTGGCCTCCTTCTCAACAGGGGCTACATCCGCTCCCTCTGCTTCCTACCGGGAGAGGCCGGGCGGGGCCAGCAGCCCCACTTACCTGTTCCCTCTCGGAGTAGGGGTTGTTGAGGACCACGGGCGCGCCGCCCTGGTCCCACAGGTCATTGAAGACGCGGTCRTTGTCCCCGCCGAGGGGCAGAGCTCGGTGTGACTTGCCATCCAGGTCCCTGAAAGGCAAGGTGGACACATCAGGCTCCCGGCCTGGGTCTGAAGGTCCTGAGTCTGCAGGGGACCCAGGGACTCAGTCACATGCCCCCTGGGAACGCTGGACGTCCGCCTGCTGCTCGGCCAGGGTTACCCCCACACGGGGGGCAGCCCCTGTCAGGCAGCAAGTGGGCTCCTCCAAGCTGACCCCTGTGCCTGGTGTCCACCCAGGTTGGGGACACTGTTTCAGGATGGCCATGACATGGTGCTTCGCATCCTTCTCCTGCGCACTTCACCTGGGGGCCCRGGGGGCCGTCTCCTGTGGGAGCTCCGAGTGTCTCGACCCCTGGACAACTTCACGCCGGGTACCCAGTGGGGGGAAGGGAGGAGGCAGGAGGGACCCAAGGCCAGTATGTCCCTTCCCAGGATCTGGGCTTCCTAGGAACATACCAGCTCAGAACACCAGGATGATTGAGAATAAAGGAAACAGAGCAGAGGTGACATCACGGTTCACGCGAGAGCCGCGTTCACCAAGCACTCACTACRTGCACCGGGCGCTGGGCGTGGGCTTCACCCAGCTCACCCCGCAATGAGCCTATGGGAGGGACGGTAGCGGGCGCAGTTTTACAGATAGCGTGGGTGACGGGGGAAGCCAATGGCTCAGGGTCACACAGTCAGCCACGAGCAAAGCCCAACACTCTAGCCTGTCCTGCACGTCCACCTGAAGAAGTGGCTCTCACTGTCACCATCAGGGACCATCATCATCACCATCACCATCAC